CCCCCCCCCCCCCCCCCCCGTCCTCTCCCCCCCCCCCCCCCCCCCCCGCCCCGCCCCCCCCCCCCCACCCCCGCCCCCCCGCCCCCCCCAGCCGGGCGCGCGCGCGCCTCCTGCCTAGCTATTGGCCGTTCAGCTCTTTATTAAACCAATCATAGAAGTACATCTTCACACAGCACACAGATATCCCACGACACCTGTGAGCTTGAGTTTGAGCATCTTTTCAAGCATGTCTGTTGCCATTTGGGTTTATTTCATTATTTATTGAGTGGGCTGTTCACATCCTCCGGCCACATCACGTCTCTGCGTTAGCAGATCCAGAAGCGAGTGTGGCAAAGCTACCCCCCCAGCATGTCAAGGAGGACTCAGGCAGGCAGAGAGGGAGAGGGATGCCCATCGAGGGAGGCATCTGGGTTTGGACCAAGATGAGCCAGAGGTTAAGGATGGAAACTGACAGACACAGAGACTGGGAGGGGAGGGGTCTGAGTCCGTATGAGAGATGTTGTCTGGGGGTAACTTTGAGGAAGGCTGTCCCCTGGAGCCACCAAAGCAGAAGGGCAACAGAGAGCGAGGGGCAGCCGAGTCCTGAGAGTTGCTGGGGTGGGGCACTGGGCAGTGAGAAGTGTATGTCAGGAAGCGTTCAGTGTCTGTATCAAGGACATAGCGAGAGTTCCGGGTGAGCTTGAGAAGTACAGAGGATGCTTTTCTTAGGCCTGTTCAATGTATTGATTAGGAATCCATGACCTTGAAGGGCACTTGGCCTGGGCCTGAGTAGCCTGCTTCTGTAGGCTGTGTGTGGATGGGAACCGAGGCCAATGGGAACGGGAAGTGTGGGCAGCAGGAGAGCGTACTGGGCGCCAGAGTAACCTTGGCACTCACGGCCCTCTCCTGGGCACTCTGCCTTAGTCCTGACTTCAGTGATTTGTCTGTCTGTTTGTTTGGTTTTATGAGGCAGGATCTCATGTAAGGATCTCAAGCCTTGCCTTGAACTCACTATGTGGTGGAGGCTGGCTTCAAACTCCTGTCCCATGTGCTGGGATTGTGAGCATCCCATCACACTTGGCTTGACTTTAATTCTCCTCACCAACAAGCAGGTGTGTTGGGCACCAGCGACACCCACGTGTCTCCAAGCTGCTTTCCAGGTGTGTGGATCTGGGTGATGCCCTGTTCAGTGTCTCCCTGACAAAGGAGCCCTGAGGCGCAGGAGAGATGTGAGCGTTTAGCTACTCAAGGCTTGGTTTTCAATGTCTTAATCTGCTTTTTTTGAGTTCACTTCGATCTCCTGCCAGTTTTGTCTCCGTGCCTGTTTGGTGAGACCTGCAGCTTGTGAGCATGTGGGCTGCCTGGAGTGGCCCAGACTGGACCCAGATGCAGTCTGGAAAACATGACTGGAAGGAAAGGATGCTGCAAAGAGCCCTAGGGAACCGTTCACCAAATAAATGGTGTCCTTCCCTCTGTGTGAGCCAGTTGTCCTCTTCAGCAGGGCTGCTTTGGGGAGGACAGCACTGGCCATTGGTCAGCTTAAAGAGACCAAAGGGCACTGCTAGGGGCAGTGGGCCACATTTCTTAGCAGTTTTGAGCATTTGTCCTAGAAATACCTGGATGAAAGAGCTCTTCTTTTATTGCTTTTAGATGTCTATGCCTCAAGTTTCCTTTATTTAATTTTTATATGATGAAAGAAGTGTTTATTGTGGCAAATGCCTACAACCTAAAATTGACTCTTTGAATCCTAGGCTCAAGCTCAGTGCCTCAGTGGGAAATGATCTGCCACTGAACCCCATCTCCAGAGTAAACTCAGGCTGGCGAGATGGCTCAGTGGACAAAGGCACTTGCCCCTAATTAGGCCTGATCACCCGAGTTCAGTTCCCAGAACCATGTGGTGGAAAAGAAAACTGATTCCCCAAAATTGTCTGCTGACCTTCACAGACACGCCATGGCATGTACCCCCCCACACAATAACAAATAAATGTATGAATGTAAGAGTAAGTGCAGAGGGGGTGGTGATGTGTGTGTCCTCACGCAGCTCTCACTGCCGCCCATGTCCAGAACCCCAGCTGAACTGTGCCATGCAGTTCCCACTCTCCATCTCCACCACCCCACTTTGAGCCCCAACATTCACCAGTCTACATCAGTCTGTGAGTTTTGTCCTCTACAAGGACCACATTGTTGCTGGAGATTTTTTCCAGCCTGGTCCTGCAGCCGCTTTAGCCCCAAATAAACACAGAGACACTGTATTAATTAGAAGATTGTTGGCCGATGGCTAGGACTTCTTATTGGCTAGCTCTGTCTTAATTAAATTATTAGCCCATAACTATTAATCTATGTATTTCCATGTGATCTTGCCTTTACCCACTGAGCCATCTTGCCAGCCCCACCTTGTTTATTGAGACAAGTTTCCTGACTGGCCTGGAGTTCTCCTAGTGGGCTAGGTGGCCAGCTAAAAAGGCCCGGAAATCCAC